TTTTTATTGGGGAATTGGGGGAATGGGAACAGTGCTGGGGAATTGGGGGAAGGGGAACAGACAAGTTGATGTCGTTTTGTTCTTCAGTCTAGTTTTGGAGGACGTTGCTTCACTGGCCCAAGTTGGCACCATCATTGCGCTCTTCCAGGGCAAGGCAGATCAGTCGCCGGCTTCTAGACGGCCACTCACTGCGGCTGCTGGCCACTCACGCTGGCTGCTGGCTACATACGATAGCCCATGGCAACCCACTGCTACAGGGGCTGCAGCCTACACCGTCGCCGGCGACTCATGGCAACCCAGCTCTAGGTTGAGCTGTTGTTCAGCATCTTAGCTGTAGAGGGCAGTGTCACTGGCCCTCAGATGTGGGATCCGAACCGGGGCCCTCTGGCATCCCAAGCCAGTTCTTAACCATCGTGCTACTCGGCCGGCCCAGGACTTTTTTCCTTTAATACTTTATTGTATTCATCCCCTTCTACAAAACCTAGTATATTCTTCTTTCTTAGTTTACTCCCTTATGTGGCACACATCTCTCAATACCGTCATAAAATGGATGCAGAGGAGGTAACTTTTTTTGAGGATTTGCCTTGTGAAGCTATCTTCATTTTCTTTTCATTTGATTGACAGTTTGTCTGGGTATAAAATTCTAGTTTGAAAATAATTTTCCCTCAGATTTTGAAAACCGTGTTTCTTTTACTAATTGCATATAAAGTTGCTGTTCAGAAGACAGATTCCATGCTGATTCCTATCTTAATGTACTTCTTTTTTTTTTCATTGTGGATGCATTTGAAACTTTTCCCTCATGTCCTGAAAATACCTTAGTACCTTAACTATTTATTTACTTATCTGTTCACATGGGCATACCGTGTTAATGTTTAGACACTCACTTTCAGGTATAAGAAATTTTCTTGCTATGTTTCCTTCATAATTTCTCCCTTGAACTTTCTACAGTTTCACTTTAACCAGAATCCCATTAGGTAAATATAGGATCTCCTGGATTGAATCTCTAATATAATGTTTTTTCCTTTCTTATTTTCTTTTTGTCTCTTGTTCTACTTTTTGGACAACTTATCCAATCCTTATATTTTTTCTTTTTGGCTAACAAATATTTTTAAAGCTCCTTTTGGTCCTCTGAATGTTTTTCATAGCATCCTGTTACAGAATTGTAAATGTATTATCTTCTCTCTCTATAATTAACATAGATATTATTTTAAAATACACTATGCAAAAAATGCAGTAAAAACTACTACCATACCTATTTTCAAAATGGGTGATTCATAGGAAAATTAAGAACTTACCCAAGATTATATAGCTAGTAAGGGACACTTAAGCCCTAATCTATTCTTTGCCTTACAATAAGAATACATACTTCATACAGTTACTGTTAAGCTTAAATGGGTAAACACATATATGGCACTTAAAACAATGGGTAGCAGAGAGTAAATACTCAATAAGTATTAACTGTTATTAGATTTTACTACTCTGGGGATATTAATCAGACATTTTAAAGAACTTTCTTCTATTTTCTCTATTATATCTGTTTGTTTCCTGCTGTTCCTTTTTTGTAGTGTTTTGGCCTTTTCTATGTCATGTCATAGGCATTTCCTCAAGTGTATTGTGGTCCTTGGCTTTCTTCTCATATTTAATAATGATGAGATATCATAGTGCTGACAGTTGGTTCTTTGTGGGTACATGAGTCCTATTGATGGCAGGGCTTCACTCTAATGTAACCATGCTAGGGTAGGGCTATTACCTTGGGATATCCTCAAATATCAGTATTGTGAGTCTTTCATATTCTCCAGGTTAGAATTCTTCAACATCATCTGTGTGGGAGAGAGCTAGGGAGAGGATCAGGCATATACCTTGTGACCTACAATTGAAGAGTATTGTACGGGGAGGGGCTAGAAATCTCACCCTTCAGGATACAAAGTTTGTCTTAATCTTCCTAGTTTTAGTTTCACACCTCACACTTGCACTCAGTTCTGTCTAGTATCTCCAAAACTAGAGATAGTCCAATTTAATTTCTCCATTGAATAAATGTTCCATTCTCTGGCCCTGAGTTTCTTTCCTATGTATGTAGAACGATAAGAGGATCAGGGAATTCAACTCTCATATATATGTACTTTCAATCAATAACTATTTTTAGTCCTTAGCTGACTTCAATCTTCTCCCAAACTTGATTCCTCCAAATCTTGTACGTAAATGGGATTATGTGGGACAAACCCACTAGTTTCTTGTGAATATCTCCAATACCAGAACTTTACTTCAGACATTTCTTAAAACTGTTAACTGCTCTTCCATCTGCTTTCGGTCATCAAATACATGTGTTCACTTGTGCATTCTTAGTTTGTGTGAGTTCATACCATTTTGTTATATTTGTCATTTTAGTGGGTATTTTTAAAAGGGAGGATAACAGTGTGCAGTCAATCCACCCACTTGTTAATTTCTACCCTTTTGTGGTGATTCATTTTTCAACCATGTATCTTATATTTTTAAGAATGTAATTTCAACTTTTTTTTCAACTCATTTTTAAAACACAAACTTGTTAGGTCTCTCCTCCATCCATTTTTGAGGGCACTTTTGAGACCTTCTGGGGTGAGCTCCTAGCATCTATTCTAAACAGCCTCTGGGGTGAGCTCCTAGCATCTATTCTGAACAGCCTCTCTCCTAGTCAAACTATGCCCTTTGACTAGGGCTGAAACCACCCAAAGCTTAAGAGGTGGTCCCAGACAGGACTAAAACAAAGGCCAAAGATAGATCTTCAGATTCTGGGACTAAAATCTCCACCTATAACTCTATACCTCTTGAAACAATGATTGCTTCAGTAGCTGGTAATGATCTTAGTTGGTCTAATTAGAGTAAAACTAAGTTTTTGTTCTATGATTGGGAAAGAGAATCTGTCTCACTGTGTCTTTCTGTGCAGAAAAAGAAAGCAGATGACCATAGATGTAGCTGGAATAAATCTTGGGACCCTGAGGGGAGCCGGCTTTGGGAGTAATTCTGCTTTAAATGAAACTAACATGTTTGTGTTTGTGTACTTATTAAATATTTTTTGTAAATTATGAGAAACAAGAACTAAATTATGGATTTACACAATGTGTTCCACCCCACTATTTTATTTCGTTTTCTAACAGTTCACAGTTCATTGCTATCAAGGAAATCTACCAGGATGCCTTCCTGTGCTATAACAACTATTTATATATGTCCCATCTCATGGTTAATGCAGTTTCATATTCTCTGAGAGCACATGTACACTTTTCATTTCCATGAGAACGTGGCTCATGTACACTTTCCATTTCCCCTACCGCCTAAAGAAGCCCAACTAGTGATGGAATTTTGTTCAATTTAACAGTCATTTATGCTCTCCTTGTTTCAAGTTTTCAATCTTCTCTGAAAGATTACAAGCTCCTGGGGGCCAGGAATCACATCTTGTATTTCTGTGTTCACTACACCTGAGCACTTTCAGTTGTTGGGATTGTGGGGATGGATACTTAAATGCTTTAAAACAAATACTAACAGCATCACAAACTATAAAGAGTGTATACATCAATTCTTATGGAAGACAGAATATATTTGTAATCACTTAAACACGTGAGCAAAACAATATTTGTTTCTAGAGAACATTTATCTGAATGGAATTTCGGTTGCTTTCATCAAACTGAAAATCTGTGGAGACGCATGGTGGCGCTGCAGGATAAATCATAGGGTGGGGAAAACACACTACACTGGATGATGTCCTTGATACTGTTACCCAGTGCACACAGAGCCTGGGGAAGACAGAAAGAACAAGTCTTAAAGGGACGAGCTAGAAGCTATTCAAAGGGGTTAAAATCCTTAGCCCTCCGAAGATTCAGTGGACATACCAGAGTCACGTTTTCCAGAACTGCGAAGTGAAGCTGAAGCGACTCTGCAGGAAGCTTTGAGAAAGGAACTATGGAGAACCCAGGGGCAGGCGCTCTGCGGATAAGGCAAGTCCTGCTTCTCTTTGTTTTGCTGGGAATGTCTCAGGCGGGCTCCGAGTCTGGGCGTTTTTCGGTGGCAGAGGAAATGCAGAGCGGGAGCTTTGTAGGCAATTTGGCAAAGGACCTAGGACTGGAAGTGGGTGAGCTGTCCTCCAGGGAGGCTCGGGTGGTCTCTAATAATAACAAACAGCGTTTTCAGCTTAACATAAACACGGGGGATTTGCTTTTAAGCGAAGCGCTTGACCGGGAGGCACTCTGTGGCTTCACCGAGCCCTGTGTGCTGCATTTCCAGGTGTTAATGAAAAACCCCTTGCAGTTTTTACAGATTGAGGTAGAGGTCAGGGATATAAATGACCACTCTCCCGTCTTCTTAGATAAAGTAATGCTGCTAGAAATCCCAGAGAATAGTCCTGTCGGTGCTGTGTTCTTACTAGAAAGTGCGGAGGATTTAGATGTAGGAATCAACACTCTAAAAAGCTACACAATAAGCCCCAACTCTCATTTCCACATTAAAATGAGAGTCAATCCAGACAATAGGAAATACCCAGAGTTAGTTCTGGACAAGGCACTGGATTATGAAAAGCAGTCCGAGCTCAGTCTCATCCTCACCGCTCTGGATGGCGGATCTCCGCCCAGATCCGGAACTGCCTCGGTTCGGGTGGTGGTCGTGGACATTAATGACAACTCCCCGGAGTTTGAGCAGCCATTTTATGAGGTGAAGATTCCGGAGAATAGCGTACTAGGCTCTCCGGTTGTCACTGTCTCAGCTTGGGATTTGGACTCGGGGAAAAATGGGGAAATATCATACAGTTTTTCCCATGCCTCAGAAGATATTCGCAAGACATTTGAAATTAATCAAAACTCTGGAGAAGTTACTTTAATGGCATCCTTGGATTTTGAAACAATTGAATCATACTCAATAATCATTCAAGCCACAGATGGCGGAGGCCTTTTTGGAAAATCGACAGTCAGAATTCAGGTGATGGATGTGAATGACAATACTCCTGAAGTCACCGTTTCATCAATTACCAGTCCAATCCCAGAAAATTCGCCTGAGACTGTGGTTATGGTTTTTAGTATAGATGACAGAGATTCTGGGGACAATGGGAAGATGATTTGTTCTATCCCAGAAGATCTCCCCTTCGTGCTCAAATCTTCAGTTGAAAATTACTACACATTGGAAACGGAGGGAAAGCTGGACAGAGAGAGCCAGGCAGAGTACAACATCACCATCACTGTCACCGACTTGGGGACCCCCAGGCTGAAAACCCAGCACAACATAACCGTGCTGGTCTCCGACGTCAACGACAACGCCCCGGCCTTCACCCAAACCTCCTACACCCTGTTCGTCCGCGAGAACAACAGCCCCGCCCTGCACATCGGCAGCGTCAGCGCCACAGACGCAGACGCGGGCGCCAACGCCCAGGTCACCTACTCGCTGCTGCCGCCACACGACCCGCACCTGCCCCTGGCCTCCCTGGTATCCATCAATGCGGACAACGGGCAGCTGTTCGCCCTCCGGGCGCTGGATTACGAGGCCCTGCAGGCCTTGGAGTTCCGCGTGGGCGCCACGGACCGCGGCTCCCCGGCGCTCAGCAGCCAGGCGCTGGTGCGCGTGCTGGTGCTGGACGCCAACGACAACGCGCCCTTCGTGCTGTACCCGCTGCAGAACGGCTCTGCGCCCTGNAGCTACCAGTATGAGGTGTGTCTGACGGGAGGCTCAGGTACCAGCGATTTCAAATTCCTCAAACCGATTGTCCCCAATATTCAGGCACAGGGTCCTGGGAGGAATAGTGAAGAAAACCCCACCTTTGGAAATAGCTTTGGATTTAATTTTCAATAAATATTATTTTTATGTTTTCATGTACTTTTGAAGTGTTATACAGGCCATATAAATATTAGTTTATTTTAAAACTCCAAGTTAAATTATTATGCAGCTTCAAGCCTAATTTTAAAGTATACTATACACCTGTGTTTTTACAATGTTATTTAATTTTTGTGTGTGTTAATCAATAGTTAGCTTTAATTAGTACCCATTTAGGAATAGTAGTTTTAAGGTTTATTTCTTTCAAAATGTACAAGGATTTAGCTCTTATTATTTCTCATTCTAGAAAACAGGTTTTGATTTTTCTCCTACTGTATTTCAGACTGCATCTCATTATCCTATCCACACCTCTAATGTACTTGCTTCATGTAGGAAGACATACTTGCACTTCTGACCATATTCTAACATTCTGTTTAATCATATTAGAAATCCACGTCATTTAGTCCTAAATCATAGCATTTAAAAAGAAATATTTCTTTATTCTGCTTATGATAAAATGAAATATTATTTGTGAGCAATATTGGACTCCAATAAGATTCTTGTGTTTATGTTATTATTTCATTTCCTTTACATGCACTACTCTTACTCAGTATTTTCCAATGTTCACTTTTGCTGATATATAAAACAGATCATGTCTTATAACTCAAAGAAAATGTAATCTGCATGAAAATGAATATAAATAAAAACATTTTGAAAATTTGAATGTGAGCATATTGGTGGACTGTTGGAAAGATACTCTTCAATTAATTATGTAAATCTATTTAATCATCAAATTTAAAAATCGATGTAAACTGAAACCATAAAGGAAAACAATAGATTCTTTCTTCTCCAGCTACCTTCTATGAGTGGTTTCTACAGAATTGATCTCAATATTTCTAATATGTTTATATTGCTATATCTTGACATTCATTACATTAATCACTTCATTCTGAAAAAAAAAACATTTAACTTTCATACCTTCCAACTAACAAACATCAAACACTGCATATTTCCTTTCTCCCATTCTCCCAGTAGAGTTGTCACAGGGATATTTTTAGTTAAAGTAGTAGTTTTTGTCTATATAACTAAGATTATTTCAAAGTACATGTTAGTGTAGTATGAATACATGTACTTTCTTGAAAAACATCTTTCCTAGAGTTGACAATTGTTTTTACTTGCATCATTTTCTATTTATTACTATTAATTTTTCACATTTCTCATTTGAATATCAATCTTTCTCCTTAAATATTCAAATATGCCAGCTAGCTATTAATTATATTTATTTCCTTGAGATCTTTTAGCCAGATCCTTCCGTATCTCTCCTTCATTTACACTGGCTGCTCTCTATATAGGTTGTCACACTAGGACTTTTTTCCTTTTTTTTTTTTTTTTTNCTGTCGGCCAGCGTCACGCTGCACGTGCTGCTGGTGGACGGCTTCTCGCAGCCCTACCTGCCGCTGCCCGAAGCGGCGGCCGACCCGGCGCGGGCCGACCCGCTCACGGTCTACCTGGTCATCGCGCTGGCGTCGGTGTCGTCGCTCTTCCTGTTCTCGGTGCTGGCGTTCATCGCGGTGCGGCTGTGCAGGAGGGGCAGGGCCGCCTCGCTAGGTGGCTGCTCGGTGCCCGAGGGCCACTTCCTGGGCCACCTGGTGGACATCGGCGGCACCGGGACCCTGTCCCACAGCTACCAGTATGAGGTGTGTCTGACGGGAGGCTCAGGTACCAGCGAGTTCAAGTTCCTGAAGCCGATTCTCCCCAACTTCCCTCCCCAGGTCACTGGGAGAGAAATGGAGGAAAATCCCACCTTGCGGAATAGCTTCCCATTCAGTTAAGTATTGGCTTATTCTACTAAACCCTACTTAGTAAATTTGGAAATCTCTTTTAACTTCAAGTTACATATTATTGATGATCCCTTTCTTGATTATTTTACTACTGTTCCTTGGGGTGAAATTAAAAGAAATTCAGATAGTACATTTACATAGTATTTTCCTATATTATTAGTAATTTTAAAATTATTCATTCAACTATATTTGATAATCTGAATAAAAAGTGAAATTTTATTTGCTTAATTTAAAATATTTGAAATTCAATTATCTTTTCCTTTTACAAAATTATATTCCAACATCCTTAAGTAGGATTGTATTTCTAACTACTAGTGACAACTATGATCACTATTGCTATGTAGGAAAAAATTTAACTGTGTTTGATATTATTTCATGTGTCCTTGTGGGCTGACCAAGTGGCTTAGTTGGTTCAGAGCTCTCTCGCAAGTGTGAGCTCTGAGCAACAGGGTCCTCAGTTCAATTCCCAGCCCAAGCTGAGCTGCCGCTGAGCTGCCAACAGGTGGCAGGAAGGCTCAGCTAAAAAAATAAAAATAATAAATTAATTAGATAGTGTGACCTTGTAAGGGCATATTTTGGGTAACTCCTACTGAACATAAATGCTAAAGATGGCTAAATGCTAAGATAGCCATTTATATTTTTATGTTTTCAGTATACCATCATTCTCAATGCATATTTTCTATAAATACAGAATTTACAAAAATGTCAATACATTAAATTGCAGTTTGTACGTTTCTTGAAAGAATATGATGGTCTTTTTTAAAAACCAGGCCAATTACAAATGTTTAATAAATATTTGCTGAAGGTTATTAACATCCCTATAATGAATTTGAAAATGACTTTCAAGGGATACAGAAATGTTAGTATTCTCTTTATACTATAGTACCCTTGTCAATAAGTGAAGTTATTATATATCACTATTTTCCTTTTCTTCCAGATATAAAATACCCTCCTCCACTCACCCTAAACTATTATAGAATATAAAATGCTTGCGAGTATATTTTCATCTCTTTATCTTGTCCAAACTTTTTGTCAAAGATACAAAGGTATTGTTTAAAATCCAAATTTTATTTTTCAAGTTCCTCTTCCTAGTTTCTCAAGGTTTTATATGTGTGATACCTGCCAAGATCTAAGTAAATTACTAGTGCCAGGTTATTAGATGATGTCAAATTTTCTCTTCTTGTTCTGTGTCTGTATCATTTAGCTTTATTAACCATAAGTCATTTACTTTTATAATTTAAGAAATATTTGGTTTTATTTGTATTGGTTATATTTGTTGTAGTAGTTTATGAAAGACTGCTTTGATTCCCATAAAAGTCAAGCAATTTATACTAAAGTGACAATTCAGTAAATATTTTATTTTTATCCTTAATTAAAATGGAAGTGGGCTTAACTAAATTATATTTGGCTATGTTTTATGTCCAAATTAGTGAGCTGTCATGGCCCTTTTGTCATGGATGATTAACAATTGGTTCAATGAGTGTAGGGAACACTTACTGTTTTGTATTCCCAGATTTTTACCATCTCCTCCTTGGAATAATAGCATTCTTCTTATAAGGAAACTGCATGTTCTGTTATTCTGACTCCAACCACATGACTTTTGTTGGTGCAGTGGTGTTTTTCAAACCCTATGTTCATAGTCCCAGAAAATGTACACTTGGATGGGTCTCTGTCCAATGCTGATAGGTCAAAACCCTTCCCAAGAAAGTATATCTTTGAGTTAATTGACTTTATTGCCCTTTTCATGTTTGTAGAAAGACATTGCCTGACTTTGGAGCTTATATTGACTTCTAATAAAACAAATGACTGGGGTGACCAGTTAGCTCAGTTGGTTAGAGCATGGGGCTGATAACACCAAGGATTTTCAGTTTGATCCCCACATGGGTCACGGTGAGCTGTGTCCTTCTTAAAAGGATCAACTATGCCATCGCACCATGAAAGCAATGTGCAACCAATGACCATGGCTGTTCCCCAATAAAATTTTTTTTAAATGGCCATTTCCTCTCAATTTTATCTGTCTATGCACACAGTGAATTTATGAAGGAAAAAAATCTCCAAAGGCTATATGTAGCCAAGAGGCTGTCAAGAAATCACTTTTTTTTCCCAGGAGTTACAGGCCCATTTCAATTTGCTTGGGAGTAGAAACTGTATTTTAAAATTGATAACTTCTAACATAATAGAACAAATTAGTATTTTTGTAATAGAATGTAAGCTCCTCAAGAGCAAGAATTTTTGTGTTTAACTTACCGTTTTATCTCCAAAATCTAGACATTTTTCTGCAAGAGAAATACTTATTAAATGACTAAATGGAGTTGTCTCCAGCCGTTTTGCATACTGAACTTGTCCCTTTGTAAAGAAGATGAATATAGATATAGATAAATAGGTATTACTTTGCTCTTACAACTACTGTTAGCTACCTGGACACGACTTCATAAAAGATGAAGGGGAAAGAAGTTTATGACACTTTATGACCCAAAAGGCATTCAGTGCGTTTTCGCTATTATATTATGCTTTGAAATGAAAACTACTTGAAGTTGTAAAGCAGAACGCTTGGTGGCGCTGCAGGATAACAGTGAAAAAATGTCTCAGCGACTCCAAGACTCCACAAAGCTGAGCAGTCTCTGGCAGGCTCGCAAAGGAAACATTTTACACAACTGGGGATAGAAGGTTTCAGAGAGGCAGCTATCCCCATGTTAGTCAGTGTTAAGAACTAACCCAAGATTATTAAACCAAGATTACAGAGTTGGCTACAAAGCAATTATTTTGTGGTTTAATACTGGATCTTTTGGACCCAGAGGAAGGATGGAGATGCAGCTACCCAAAGAGCTCCAGAAAAGGCAAGTGACCGCCATTATTATTCTATTACTATTGTGGGAGGCGGGCGGTGAGACCATTAAGTATTCTGTTCTAGAAGAGAGGGACAGTGGCTCTTTTGTGGCCAACCTAGCAAAAGATCTGGGGCTTGACTTAGGGGAGCTGGCCGCGCGGGGCGCCCGGATTCTTTCCAAAGGGAACAAACAGCATTTGCAGCTGGATCAGAAGAGTGGGGATTTGCTCCTAAAAGGAAAATTGGACCGGGAAGAATTGTGCGGTTCCATGGATCCATGTATACTGCATTTTCAGGTGTTACTGAAAAACCCGGTGCAGTTTATTCAAGGTGAACTACAACTCCGAGATGTAAATGACCATGCCCCAGAATTCTTGGAAAAGGAAATCCTCCTAAGGATCTCGGAAAGCAGCCACGTGGGGACTGCATTTCCTTTGAAAATAGCTCAGGATTTAGACGTGGGCAGCAACACAGTTCAGAACTACACAATTAGCACCAACTCCCATTTTCACCTTTTCACTCGTAATCACAGCGATGGCAGGAAATACCCGGAACTGGTGCTAGACAAAGCGCTGGATCGTGAGGAGCAACCAGAGCTCAGGTTAACCCTCATGGCGCTGGATGGCGGGTCACCGCCCAGGACTGGGACATCTCAGGTTCTCATCATAGTCCTGGACATAAATGACAATGCCCCTGAATTTGCTCAGCTGCTCTATGAGGTGCAGGTCTCAGAAAATAGCCCCATAGGCTCCCTTATCATCGCTGTCTCCGCTAGAGATTTAGATGCTGGGACCCACGGAGAGCTCTCCTACTCATTTTTCCAATCCTCAAATCAAATCATTCAGGTGTTTGAAATAAACGCAGTCACGGGAGAAATTCGATTAAAAAGAATGCTGGATTTTGAGGAAATTCGATCTTATCGTATGGAAATTGAGGCCTCAGACGGTGGGGGTCTTTCAGGAAAATGCACTGTAGCCATAGAAGTGATGGATATAAACGACAACGCCCCGGAACTGACCATGTCATTACTCATCAGTGATATCCAAGAAAACACCCCTGACTCTGTGGTAGCTGTTTTTGAAATTTCAGATCCAGACTCTGGAGACAATGGTAAAATGATGTGTACCATCCAAGACCATCTCCCCTTCCTTCTGAAACTTACCGTAGAAAATTTCTACACCTTGCTAACAGAAGGAGCATTGGACAGAGAGAGCCAGGCAGAGTACAACATCACCATCACCGTCACCGACTTGGGGACCCCCAGGCTGAAAACCCAGCACAACATAACCGTGCTGGTCTCCGATGTCAACGACAACGCCCCGGCCTTCACCCAAACCTCCTACACCCTGTTCGTCCGCGAGAACAACAGCCCCGCCCTGCACATCGGCAGCGTCAGCGCNAGGAGGGGCAGGGCCGCCTCGCTGGGTGGCTGCTCGGTGCCCGAGGGCCACTTCCCGGGCCACCTGGTGGACATCGGCGGCACCGGGACCCTGTCCCACAGCTACCAGTATGAGGTGTGTCTGACGGGAGGTTCTGGAACAAATGAGTTTAAATTTCTGAAGCCGATTATTCCCAGCCTTCCAGTCCATGACCCTGGTAGGAAAGTAGAAGAAAATGAGAACTTTAGGAATAGCTTTGGATTCAACGTTCAATAAAATAATTTATTTGAAACATCTAATCTCTTATTATTCTTGCCAAATTGGGGATACTTTTGCCAATCTGTAATGGATTTCGGTTGTACTGTAGTTGGATGCATTATTACTTACACTCTCAACCATTGCTTTAAAAATATTAGTGACTATAACGAAATGGAGATATAATGTGTGTGTTTTCTGTTTTTTTATTTTTGGTAAAAATGATATTAATGAAGTTATTGCTGCTAACTTTTTGTTGTGGTAATGGCATTGTTGTTATACAAGACAATGTTATTTGGAGTTTCAAACTGAAATATTAAGAGTGAATTCCACCTGAAACCAATAAAAAAAAGAGTGAATTCCACAATATATGTACCTTACTTCTAGACCTTTCATCAAAACATAGATAAAGCAAAAAATTTAAATGCTGTTGAATCTGGGTGGAAAGTATATTGGATTTTATCACACTATTCTCCTTGAAAATTTTCATCACAATTGGTAAAATGCTATCTTACCATATTCAGTACTAGAGTACTTTATTTGTTTTTTGTTTTATATAGAGTTTTTCCAGAATTTACTTTATGACAAATTGACAGTGACCAGATTGAAAATTATTGATTTCGTATGCAATTTTCCTTTTTTGTTGTTGTTGATGCCTTTTGGGGGGGGGAGGGAGAGTTATAATGTTCTGAGACATGATATTGCTATTTTGTTTTCTTTAAATGTACCATATTTGCTAGTTTACATTTTATTATTTCTATATTGTTCATTACTTAGCTAGGATGTAGTTCATGGTATCTTCCTGAGTAAAATGACATTCCATCAGAAGAATACAGGTAAAAACTCCCTAAGAAATCAAAATGGAAATCCAAACTGTTAATGAAATAAATTGGGTTTACTTTCCTACTGATTGTTAAGAGTAAATGTAAAAAATTCTTAATTTATCGTGGCCTCTCTCAGGTATCTACAAAGAAGGAATGGGTTTTTACTTATGGTTTATAGATGCCTCATGGCATACAAACCATAATGTCTCCAATCTATAAGAGGACATTTGAATGGGGGACTATAGGAGAGATTTTGATAACTGGAATGTAGTGTGGATAGAGAGCTAATGTGTGTAGACATCTCTGTAATTTCTCTCACAAAACTAAGTTTTATGGACTAGATGGTGCAGTAAAATGGAATTTTACTTGACATTGTGAAATGAATGAGACAAATTTCAATTTCCTTAGGAATCTTTTTTTCTTGTTTTTGCTTCATACAATTTTTACTAGTTTTATTTTGTGTTGCAACAAACATTTACTAGTTGTGAGAATTTCATTTAAATAGACATTTAAGTAACAAAATCCTAAAAAATAAAGAATGTTTGAGCACTCTTTATCCCTCAGATTCATAAGAAGCAAATCATATGCTTCCTATGCATAAGGATAAGAATAGGTAAGAACAGAATATCCTATTTGAATAATAAGGAACAGACTTGTAGACTACCGATAGAATAGAATCCAGGGTTAGATCCTTTTATATAAAAGAACTTGGTCATGATAGAGGAGGTATCAAAATCACTGGGGGGGGGACTGATTACTTAGCTATGTTATTGGGAAAATTGGCTTGCTATATAAAGAAACAAAATTCTTATCTCATGCTATATAAAATATAAACTTCATATGGATCTAAGAGGTAAATTTGAAATATTTTAATTGAAAAAACATAATAAATCTAAAAATATCTTTATAACCTTAGTATTGGTTTGAATTTCTAAAACAAGGCTTTAAATATATAAACAATAGGGCCAGCGAGTGGAGCGNACCAGTATGAGGTGTGTCTGACGGGAGGCTCAGGTACCAGCGAGTTCAAGTTCCTGAAGCCGATTCTCCCCAACTTCCCTCCCCAGGTCACTGGGGGAGAAATGGAAGAAAACCCCAACTTGCGGAATAGCTTCCCATTCAGTTAAGTATTGGATTATTCTACTAAACTCTACTTAGTAAGTTTGGAAATCTCTCTTAGCTTAAAATTACATGTTATTGATGATCCCTTTCTTGATTATTTTACTATTCCTCCTTAGGGTGAAATTTAAAGAAATATTGTCCCCAACTTTATGGGTGAAGGGGCTGGTAGGAATACCTAGGAAAACTCTAACTTTAGACATAATTTTGGGTTCAATTAGGAATCTCATCTTGACAAGATTTGGTAAATGATAATATTCATTAATGTATTAATTCCCAACCCTTCATTCACATAAAGAACTTACATATTCACACATCCATAATTATTGTCATACTTATAGTTATTGCAACTTGATGAAGTACTTTACATTCTGAATCTCTAGTGTTTTTTATTGTGTCGTCATGGTTTTTTGTTACATTTTGTATGTTCATACAATAGCAGAGCATGTTCATACAATAGCATGGTGTTTCTCAGGTTTTCTGAAGTAAGAATTGTACAAGTCAGAAATGTTTTCAGATTCCTGATATTTGAGCTTGTTCATTGATATCTTGTTATGCTTAAGAGAACTGTTTTATGATTATCCTCAGCATGAATCTAACCATTGTAAATGATGGCTTTCAGCTTTATAAATAATTTTCATTTATGCAAAATTTTTTGTGACTTCATAAATTTTTGTATTCCTGTAGTGTTGTTTTGAAAACACTGTTGTCTTTCCATAAGTGAATTAATATTTTATTCGGATATTTTCTTTTCTTTCTAAATTGATAGCATTTAATTAGACCATCTGGTATATTTTTAAAGAATTTAATCCCTGTGAAGTAGAAAGAATGTTGGTAGACTTATGATTACATTTTCATAATAAATGGTTTCAGGTATGTAAATAATGATTCTCATTCATTTAACATTTAGTCACATGATTCAAACATATTCAATGAGAAAAAAGAAAGCAAATTAACATTATTCTAGCACTCAGAAATAATTATCATTTGACTTAATGGTAAAGTCAGCATCATTCTAAAATATATCTACAAATACACATAAGAATAAGTGAATAGATGGAAACAATTTTATAAATGGACCTATAATAAATGGCTACCTTTATAATTAAAATTGCCAGATTTTGCTTGAATATAATAAAACAAAAATAATATGAAACTATAGAACTTGCTTAAGCTTAAATAAATAATCCCTGTAAGGTTAAAAACAAGATTATGATATTAGCATCACTTACCTACTTTAAAATGAGCAAATAAACATTTTTTCATCTCTACCTTACTCCACTCACCTTACTTTATACTTTTTGTTATATATAGTTTACCTTATCAATGTTTATAACATTTACAATGTATCTTGAAAAGACAATTCCCATGATTTAGATGTTTTATGTTAAAAAAATTTAATTTGTCATATAATGCTACAAAATTTTCAACTTTATCTGTCCAGAGGTAACAACTTTTGAAGCTTTTAACTGTTTTTCCTATAATATTTACTTCCATATTTCTAAATAATATGGTTATAAAATGCTTTTTCTCAAATTTCAGTTTTAGGTATTACCCATTTACATCACACACACACACACACACACACACACACACACACGTGCACATTTCCTCTACCCCATCCTTTCTCATAGCAACATCAAAATTCTGTTTAAATAGTGTTTATATACTTATGACTATTAAGTGTCACTTACACCTGAACCTCATGGTGTACTGAGATTTTGTTCCTGTACCTAAGTTAATGATTGCATCATTTTCCACTTTACTTTTCTATGTACATATTTTTAACTTATCCCCATATTTTCCAAAGTCTAAAGATCCTCATTGCATTATTAAACTCATAAAAAAATCTCTCAGTTCCATTTTTTTTTCTTGGAGCCATCCTGGAGCTATTCAGACTCCTGCTCAATTTATACTATTTGCTCTGTAGACCTATTGCATAATTGGCAGTTTGGAACTTACTTTGTTCATCATCCTGGGATTTTTTTTATTTCTCTCCTCAGTATGATTTCATTTCCTGGACATTATGGCTTTCTTTTTTTGGTTTACTCTCTTAAGTTTCTGAAGAATATTTGATGATAATAAATATATTGTGAATTTGAACATATGAAAAATTCAGATGTCATAAAATCAAATGTTGATTTGATGATTTTGTTGAGTGTAGAATTTTAAGTTAGGAATTATTTGCTGCTAATGTTTTGAAAGCACTCCTTGACTTGTCTCCCCTGCTAGTTAGTCTTCTACTTTTTTTTTCTTTATAGGTTCATTTATTTGAAATCTCTGCTGTATATTGTTTAGATGAGGTTTCAGGAGGGAATTGAGATAAACTGGTGTACTCAAACTGGAGTGAAATGCAGTCTTTACTGTCTCAGCTTCCCCATACCTGAATCATTTATATTTTTTCATCTTTTGGTTTGCTGTATTTCATCAGATGTAGTCCTTTAAGGAGTTTATAGGTGCTGTATTTCTCAGATACTTGAGAAGCACAACATAGCTGGGTATAAAATTCCTCAGTAAACTTTCTTTTCCTCAGATATTTGTTGACATAAATATTACATTAGTCTTTTCATCATAGTTTTTATATATTCATCAATAAGTTGGCTAAATTTCATGCTTAAGCAGTTTTTTTCAATCAGCATTAATGAATACTAATGCAATGTTCTATGAATTCTTTCCTGTTCACTGCATTTTTATCTTTGTACTTGAGCCAACATCTTGATTAGGTATAAAATTATTGAGCCATAATTTCTTTCCTTCATAATCTTGTAGACATTTCTATTGTGTTCTGTTATTGAATGTTGATGAGAAAAAGTCTGAGGCCTGTTTTCTTTACCTGTAGGTGGCTTGTTTTCTGTCCTTGAAATTCATTATCTTTATCAAGTTATGTCTTAATTTTGATAAATTTGTATCACTTTTTCCTGGAATGCAGCATATCCTTTCAATCTGTTTCATGCAGATATTTTAAAGTATGTTATTTATTTATTTATTTATTTATTTATTTATTTATTTATATAGTAAGTATATTTGGTTTTTAAATGTTTGGTACTTCCAATATTTAAAGTTTGTGTGGGAAGTTTTGCTGCATTGTGGGTCTATTATCTGTTGCATTGTTTCTGATTATTTTCATCCATGTTGTCTTTCTTTGTGTGACTCATACTGTTGATAACCCTTGAAAATTTCTTTGTAGGGTGTCCTCAAAGCCTAGCTTGCATGTTCCATCCTTCAAAATGAATTTTCATTAGTTTCAGCCAGAATTCTAGAAACACTATCAGTAGGGGACCACCACAAACCAAGTTTGTGGCCTGAGATTCTTGCAACTCAGTTTATGAATATTCAAAATACAAATACACATTGAGGATCAATCGGTAGGTACAATTTCCCAGGCATGGTGTCTTTTCTTTTTCTTCTGATCTACTTAACACCAGAGAGCCTTCCATATAATTCCTTGGAGTTTGGGGGAGGGGCAGGTTAGATTTGTTGGTGCTTGCACTGTGTTTATATTGTGTATGTAGCCCAGTGAGGTCCCTTAAAATGGGTAGAATCTGCCTATCATATGCTGCACCTTTGGTTAGTCTTGAGCCTTGATTGATATTTGTTTAATCCCACATAGCTTTAGATCAAAGCCCAAGGACAAATATTTCCAAATTCCCTGAGGGAATAATAAGTTTTTTTGTCCTGATACACTATTTACCCCTCATGACAGACTTCCATCAAAAATTGGGTTATTTTTGTTACATTTTCTACTATGTTTCTAGCTCTTCAATCTTTCTAAAGTTATTTTTTTAGAAAAAGTCTTGTCCAGACCCCCCATTATTTTTATTGTTTTATGAACTATCTATACCATCAGTTTCATAAATGAGAAGCTCTGCCTAATGTCTTGTTAATCTGAAAATTCAGTTTTACCATCATTTCAGTGATATATTAGGCTACTTTTTTCTTTGAATCCATTGAATCTAATGTTCCATCCATTGGGTAATCTGCCTAGACAAATCAGTGATCTCCCTTCCTCACTAAACTATAATCTCCTCACAGAGAGGGCTCTTTTCCTATTGCACTTAGAAAAATATACATTGAAGTAAATATAGATGAATGAGTGTTGAATAAATTAATGCATGAATTTCAGTCTGTAATTTTATCATCTTTGCCTATCTTCTAAGGCTCATGTGAAAAAATCTCATTGATAAAACCTAATTAACATCCAGAATAATAATTCAAAGGAGTCTGTAAAATCAAGTTTTAATCTTTTCAGTCCCTGAATTTTTTTTTAATTGGGGAATTGGGGGGATGAGAACAGCGCTGGGGAATTGGGAAGGGGAACAGACAAGTTGCTGTCGTTTTGATCTTCAGTCTAGTTGTGGAGGACGTTGCTTCACTGGCCCAAGTTGGCACCATCATTGCGCTCTTCCCGGCGAGGCANCTGCCTCGCCAAGGAAGAGCGCAATGATGGTGCCAACTTGGGTCAGTGAAGCAACATCCTCCACAACTAGACTGAAGAACAAAATGACAGCAACTTGCCTGTTCCCCTTCCCTGATTCCCCAGTGCTGTTCCCCTCCCCCAATTCCCCAATAAAATCTTTTTTTAAAAGTATAAACAATAAAGATAAAAATTGACAAATATTATACTACCTCAAATCTAGAGGATAGCACAGACAAGCTAGCAGATGACAGATTGGGAGAAGCTACTTGCAGCAATTTAACTGAGAAGGATTAATATTTAGATTATTCAAATAACTCTTGCAGATCAGCAAAAATAAAAAAAGACAGGCGTGCCAATAGGATTTCTTTAAAAAGACAAAGAGGAAAGGAAATTTTAAAAAGGGTAAAATAGAAAGTCTGAATGCTCCACCTCATTATTTGGTGAAATGCATACTAAAAGAAGGCACTAGTTACACCCATAGCACTAGTAAAGATGAAAATTTGGGTAATATCAAGTGAATCAATAAGAAATACCATGTACAACCCATTATGAGAGATTTCCAATAGTATTTAGTGAAATTTAGTGTGTACATATCCTATATCTAGCAATTCTACTTTGAGGTATGTAAGCCAGAAAACTCTTACCCAGCTTTACAAAATGACGTGCATGAGAATGTTCACATTGGGAAAGCAAAGAATAAGATGTCACCTACATATCCCATCAGTAAAGCAATCGATAAATAAAATGTGGAACATGGCTGTGAAGGAGTATTATGCAATGACCAAAAGGAGTAACTAGGTGTATATACACATACAACCACATCGATAAATTCCCAAATGTCTTTTAAAAAGGAGAGACTGATATTATAGCACAATGACATATATATCCATATAACACATACTATCTAATATTTGTAGAAATATACAAATATATAAATAAATATATTTCAAGGAGAGAAGAAGGAAAAGATGCGGGAAAGAAGGTGTGTGTTTATATATAGAAGAATAAGGGTTGCAGAGAGAAGTGGGAGCAAACCAATGTCCAAGACAGAAATTCTCTTCTAAGAGATTAAGTTGATTGCAGCATTATAGAGTTGATTTAGTATTGATCAGTTGAAGTTGGTAAAAATACATATTTCTTTATCCTCTCGAGAATATCCATTGTCCATACCCCGTGAAAGCTAAGAGTTTACCTGTAATTTTGAGCTATAACAATATTTTGTGAGACTTTACATTTTTAATAGGATGGTATAGATTATGTAGAGAACACTTCCACTGGAAACAATTAGCTAATAAAATACTAATATATCGTCAGGCCACAGTCAATGTTTAAAGGTAACCCAGAGAGATAAATGAGCCCCAAATCCACTTTTTTTCCAGGAACATTTGGAATCCTGGGAAATGTGAACCTCTATTTTGATGGTTTATATAATGAGGGAGAAAATCAAAGCCTAACAAACTGCAAAGTTTATAGAAGACCCTCACATTGATAATTATGGATTCCTAAGAACTACACTTTTAGGCTGAAAGTAAACTAGAAATTGATGGGTGAGCCCTTGTATTGAATATCAGCTTTGAACTTGATTTTTAGCATTGAACTTAATTTAAGGTGGTCATTGGCAAGCAGTTCTCTCAGATCCTGATAGACCCTGCAGACCTTCAATGAAAGGTTTATTCATCCTAAGCCTAGGATTATTCATATAAATAGTTTTTATGTTCTTAACTGAAACACAAAGATAACTGCATACACAAGGAAACAGGACACCATGAGTAAGAGCCAGCAGAAAAAGCAGAACACAGAAATAAATTTTCTAACACTTCAAATACATTAGTTATCAGACACAGTCTATAACATCCTAAAGTTTAATTGAAATAAAAGTTAGACTTGAAGATGTACAGGGAATAAGAAATAATAAATGTGAAAGATTTTAAAAGAACCAAACAGAACTCCTAGAAATGAAAAATATGATAATCAAAAATTAAAACTTAATAAAAGTTTTAATAGAAAATTAGACACAACAAAATAAAAAATTCATGGAGTGAAAAATATGTCAGAATATAATTTATCCAGAATGCAGCTCAGAGAGATAATAAAATGAAAAATATGGAGGAGATGGTTAAAAACAGGACAGAGAAAAAAGGTTTAACATATATTTAACCAGAATTCCAGAAGGAGCAATGAGATGATTTGTTCTGAAACAATATTTGAAAAAACAGTGGCTGGGAATTTTCCAGAATTAATGAAAATGTCAATGCAGATTTAAGAGACCCAAGTAAACCTAGCAGGATAAATAAAAGTTAACCGTGCCTAGAAACATCATTGTCAAATTTCAAAAGACAAAGACAAAGAAAAAATTTTAAAGAAAAATCATAGAAAAAAGACACTTAATCTTTAAATACACAACAGTGCGACTGACAGCTTTGTTCCATGTTGACAATTTCTCAACAATAGCAATGGAAACTAAAAGAAAGTAAGACATCTTTAGTGTGCTGAAAGAAATTAGCAAACTGTCCTGCCTATAGTCTTTGCACATAAGAGTCATCACATGAGAGAATCAATCAACTGGGTATCAATTTGTTTTTTTGTTTGTTTGTTTTGTTTTTAAAGATTTTTATTGGGGAATTGGGGGGATGGGAACAGCACTGGAGAATTGGGAGAAGGGGAACAGACAAGTTGCAAGTTGCTGTCGTTTTGTTCTTCAGTCTAGTTGTGGAGGACATTGCTTCACCGGCCCAAGTTGGCACCATCATTGCGCTCTTCCCGGGCGAGGCAGATCAGTCGCTGACTTCTGGACGGCCGCTCACTGCAGCTGCTGGCCGCTCACACTGGCTGCTGGCTACACACGGTAGCCCATGGCAACCCACTGCCACAGGGTCTGCA